AAAACCCTATAACCCGAGCGCTTTCAAAAGGTGGACTTTTCTTCTTCAGGGGCAAAAAAGAAAGGTTCACCTTTCGAAAGCGCTCGGGTTATAGGATTTTTATTTATTTCTATCAAGACTTCTTGAACCTACGTGTCTTTCTAACATCATGAATAGCGACAATACTTAATTGTAGTGCTAGCATTACTTCAGTTGCTCCACTTCTAAAAGCAGAAACATAATTACCAGAGCATTTAATACTGTTGGTTCAAGATTGTGCAGGTGATCTCAGTACTGAATGGTGAGAGGAACTCAGTGAGCTGCTAGCAAAGTTTGTTGGTATATTTGTCAGACTATATAGTTGCCATGATATATGGATTTTATGTCATCGCCACATAAATACAAGTGACACTTGTCTTGTTAAGTAACCACTGCACAGACTTCCTTGGAATAGTGAGAAGTTCCTGAAGAATGAAGTAATGCAGCTATCGGAGAGTGCATAACTATCAATAATAGTAATTACAAAGAAAAAGGAAAGGATACCAAGTTTCTGTGTTGATTTTAAGTAGGTGAATGCACTAACAGTTGTATAAACAGTTCAAAGATTAGCTAATGTATGCTTTATTGCTGTTGTAACCCAAGCAAGTGTGATAAGTGTGACATCTGGTTTGAGATGCAACTATTTGTCTCCAAATAAATGACACCGAAGATACTGAGACAGAGAGTGTCACATGCTATATCCAAGATGCGACAGTAGTTATTCTGCTCACTTGGAAATGTTGTGTAGACATTGTAATGTGTTGCTCAGAGGAAAACTAGGGATGCCAAAAAAGATTCAGAATTATAGGTTCTCCAATGCAGAACATATTGCTGGATCCCTCCCAGTCTGACTGCTGAAATACAAGCAGATTCTCATCCTTCATGACATTCCCTGAGAAACAAGAGATATATGGGAGGAGATCATCTTCAAACAAAATGGCGATTTTAAGTATGCATCAAATATTGTGAAACTATACCTATAGATTAATGGAGCACATATAACCACGGCTTGGCCTGCACAAAGTCTTTGAATATTATCAAGAATATTTGGGCATAAATGGAAAGTAAGAATGTCAAACTTAAACCAAAGAACCAGGACAAATTGAGAAAAATTGTACTAAACATTTGGAAAAATGTTTTCACAATCATTTATGTTCGCACAAAAAACAAGGTATAATGCTCTATTTTAAGCAAAAACAAAACACTAGTGCATTTACTTACGCTTATTTTGTATTTTCTCTAATAATATATTGTACTAATGCTAAATTGTTCATTTAGTTGCAGTTTATCATTGTATGTGGCTCCTGTATGTGTATCACCTGTGTGTTACCTTAATTGTTTCCAATACTGTATAGGAAGCACACTTGTCTATTTGTGCAGTGTCTTGACAACACAAGTTGATGTGAGGAACTGACTGAACCAATTTCAATGAAATTTGGTACAAGAAACAAGATGGAACCTTCAAAAACGGAGTCTACATGGATAAGCAATCAAATCAAACTTGAACGGGGTTCATATCAATTTTTATTGGGTGAAACCTATGCCAAATGAAAGTGATGATTAATGCCATGTGTAGAACAGGTGCCTACATGGCGAACGACGCAAGCGGTCGCATTATATTTCTGATTTGGAATTAAACTTGAATAAAAGACTACCAAATATTAAGCCAAGCCTTGAAGTAAATTACTTTTTACCTGTCTGCTACACACACACACAACAACATTCTTATTGTCATACCTGGCTGACTTTCTTTTTAATAATTCAAGCTGGTCTAAATGTGTTACTGGCAGTGTGGAGATACAAATATGGAAACGTTATTTTCCCCAGTTTTTTGTTGTTGTTTTTATAAGTGGGTAGGTATAAGAACGTGGATGATAAGGCATTATGGGTACTAGAGTAACGTTTAAGATTTGGTAATATGACCCTAAACAAAATTAGAACTGTAGGACATATTGATTTTAGTATTCGTCACGAGATGTTGTGAAATTTGCTTTTGTGCTCTGTTTGAAGAAAACTTGTGTGGTGTCTTTACTTCTTGTTAGAGTCAATCTTAACTACAGTTCTGCCAAACAAATATCTCGTGAACACGACTAAAATGTTGTTTATTGGTTGAAAGCAATAAAGCTTTTAGTATTGGCTTGTGACTGTTATGACTTGGCGAATAATTACATAAAAAGATGCTGTTATAACTGAATTAAATATATTACTATAAACATAATTATTTTCAATTAAGAAGCGATTTTACAATATTTTACTTGGTCTATAACATTATTTCAGCGTTTCTCAAAATTTCAGAGCTCAGGTATACCAATTTCAAGTTTTAATAAAATGAATGTTATTACATTCATGATTTTTTTACAACGAAAATAGTTTTAACCAATAAGATGTGGTAGCAACCCAGATGTTACAAGACATAAAGATAAGGTTCGTTTGTTGTTGTTTTTTTTTTTTTGGGGGGGGGGGAGGTTTGACAGAACACGTTTTCATATTAATCTTTTGTGTATTGTACAATCTCGCAGAGTTGGAATTCTCACCCCTTTCCCTGCAGTGACTTCATAGAAGCATCCCACCATCCATTCGTTACTGTACGATGCTTTCTTTGCAACATCCTTGATCAGCAAAACGTGACTAGAAGTGCAAGACAATGATTTCTGTGTGCTATGTGAAAACCACTTGTTACTCTATCTACTAACCAGAATTTTTCAAGCGATAACGAACATCTATTTACAATTCAAAATAATACAACGTTATAATCGTTACACAATAAATAATTATTAAAAAACAGGGACTTGCCCTAAAAAACACTCTTCGTCTGTTTCGGTGTCATATGACACTGTCTTCACTTTACCTCAATTTTCTGAAATTTCATTAAAAAAATTAATTTCGTTGATAATAATAATAAATATATAGAATTAATGTACATTATTAATAAGGAAAGAACTACCATTTCTCCATGAAGGAAGCGATTGAGGAAAAAAAATGTTTTAAAATAAGGTCCTATTATTTTTTAAATGTTAGCAAGGGTCTATATTATACCATATTTTACACAGCTGTTATTGACTTATTTCTTGAATAAAGTGGACACGTGCACTAAATAAACTTTTTTTTATAAGAGAATCAATTATAGTGAAACTTAGTTAGGGACTTCCCTTCATGATGTTGAAAAGTCGTGCGAAGTTTCATCCAAATCGGACCTAAACTGTGAGAGGAATATATAAAGATGTATATTATTAACTTTATTTACATATTAGATATCATGCTGTTTTATGTTCCTTGTCAATCTTTAATTTTGGATATTATGTAAATATCACTAGATCGTTAACGGAAGTACTTTGAATGTTTGTGTGAATTACAGTTTAAATTTCGCATATTGATATATATATATGTACTACCTCAGTCACTAGTGTTTATAATGATGTTCATTATCACTCTTGTTTTTTGTTTTTTTCATTCTAAAAATCAGATTTCCGAAACACCTATTTGTCACTACTGTCATGGTATCTACATATTAAAATTATATGGGAATGCTGAAAAAGCATATATAAAATTTCAAAAGAATTTACTACACATTGAGTTTCTGAAAGAATGCAAAGCTTTTAATTTATTTCCTAAATTTTAAAGTTTCCAACATCAATCTAAGATTCAGTAAACCCAGAAAAAAAAATTAAACAAAGAGTTACTGGTCTATTGGTCGGCGGCACGGGCACTCGAAAGCCTGGATAATCGTCCGTTTTTCAATTATCTGACAGTTAGGGTCTCTTTCTACTACCCGGCTACCAAATATTAATTTGAAAATTTAAAGAAAATATGATAATACAGTTGTAAACCTGGGTCTCTTGGTTGTGTAATAAAGAGGCTATAGAAGTCTACAGACCCGAAAAAGGAAATGTGTGTGTACTATATACAGTGTCTAAATACGTATTATGCGCTTAAAAGATATATATTTGTGATCAATTTAATGAAAGCTGTTATTTTCTATTATCCGAACATGACGTGGGTTCCCGGTATTTTTCACAGCGCGTGCCGAGCTCCAGATTTTCTATATGTGAAAACCTCTACTTTAAACACATACACATTGTTGATGAGACTGTTTAACTTTGACGTCACTTTACTTTTTTACTATGTGGCGCATTTCCTAAACAGGAGACAAACATACATCGACTTACACACATTTCTATATTAACAAAGGATGATTAAAAAAAATTATATCAATACTGAACCAATGTGTCTTGCTATAGAATTTCGCAAGCCCAAGGTATGTATTTTGTACAGCCAACTTGTGCTGTGTTACGGTTTGATACAACAGGATTATTTTGTAAGTATAATTAACTCATCGCTCTTGTACCATAACTGACTTTCGTCTGCGCTTTTAACTAAGATTTTGAAATAACAGTTTTGCATTATCATTTAGAAGTTTCAAACCTGACCAATAATCCCCAAGCAATTAAAGGTTATTGAAATACCTATTGAATAGTTAATAGAAAATTGGGACAAGCTAATGTCTTCAGAAAATTACTTTTTGTTTTATACAGTCTAGTGATAGTGTGTAATGACTGGAGAACCACGTTTTGTAACAAGATAATAATTCGCCAATAGCCGAGGCCTAATAAACTAGTTTAAATGATAGCGAAGTACTTGCTTTATAGATAGTGGGATGATTTCGAAAAACCGTCCCAAAACTTGCACTTTTTATTTGTAATTTATTATTCCTAATTTCGAAAATAACTTGTGATATGAGCAGTTTGAAAAAAACAGACACAAAACGATTAATGAACTTGATCAATTCGATTATTATTTCTTTAGATTGTAGGGAAATGATTAGAATTTGCACTGTTTTCGCGACTTACGCCTGATCTTAGAGGAAACGCTTTCTCATATACAAACAAATCTGCTTGGCCTGAAAGTTAACTACGTAGCGATCACGTGAGCCAATCGAAAAGCACTGTAAGAGCAACCATGTAGACGTATATATTGTGGGTGTCACACGCTTGGTTACAGTAAATAGAATGAAGATTCTCGAAACGATCCAGATAGCAGATTGAAAGTTCGTGTGTTTAGTTCTGGTCAACTGACGTTTTTAGGCATATGATGCATGATATAAGTTTTATAGAATGGTGAAGGTTATGCACGGGTTTACGTTCATAAAGACTTGGAAGAAGGTAGGCCTACGAAGGTGAACGAGGTAAAGCTGCTTCTTGTGCTAACCATCATGGCGGTCTACAGAGCTGAGTTGCTCTCGAATGCATCTCAGACGGTTTGGTATAATCTCCTGACTGCTTTAAGCCTAATTTTACTCATCGGAATATGTGGAGCACAAAATAACATGTGTCCTTCTAGTTGTTCATGCTTGGGAAATTTCGTCGACTGCAGCAGACGTGGTCTTATTGAAATACCTAAAGATTTACCTGTTTGGGTGGAATACTTGTAAGTTTGTTTAGACTTATGCTAGACATAGCTTATCCATGCACTTTGTACATTTTGTAATTTGTAAATATCTAATGTATTGGTCTACTTTGTTTTATGTTAACATGTTGTTTTTCTTTATAGTAGTAGTATTACTAAGTTCTACCTATGTAATCATACAAGTGTTACACAGTTTTACTGAGTCACAGTGAGTGCCACTGTTACTGTTAGGATATGTTTATGTTACATTAAAACTGTTGAACTTAATGATACATAATTATTGGGAATAACTTTTTATTACAGCCTTAAGTTAAAAGTTGTACTAAATATGTGAAAAATATATGTTAATGTTGGTAGTAGTAAATGCCAAGTTAATTTAAAGTTTTCTAGCACTAACAATAATCATTGGAATTTGAAGCATACTTTGTTGTATATGTTGCCACGTTAATTCTATGTTTGAGTAGTGTTCAGTCGTTCCCGTGGAATATTGCATTACAATTTGGCGGTTATGAACTTAAGATTAGAATGATATGACCTCCATCCGGGTGGCTCAGAAGTAAGCTTGAGGGCTTATAATGCTAAAATTCGAGGTTCAATCCCTGCAGTGGAATAGTACAGATAAATTATTATGCAGATTTGCCCTTACGTAAATAAACTAATAAACATAAATAAAGCCTATTTGATGTACACGGTAAAATAAAATTGGAAATAATATGAGTAAAGATCACATGTTAGTTATTTTTACAGTACCGCTGTAACTACTTGTAAGTTGTATGTAATTATTGCCACTAGTATGAAAGTGTATTGTGAGCTGGTGTACAACATAACTATTTAATAAGCCGATGTATGTATATACAAAACACCATGTATTTACATAGGAAAAAGCGTTATTAGCAGGATAGTACAAGGTTCGCAACGAATTTATGAAAAAATTAACTGTCAAGCACAACATTTGTCATCTTAATTTTTTATGTTTCTCGAAATGTAAATTATTTTCTTAACAGTTGTAGTTATGTTCATGTGCGTTAATGTAGACAAAGGTTAATAAATATTTCACATAGACGCCAACTTTTAGTTGTAACATACCAGAGATATGTTTTATTTATCAATTTCTGTTCTTGATTTAGCCGTGGGATGTCATACAGTTGGAAATTTAAAACTTAAAGCGTTTGTTTTGTTATCGTAATTTTATTGTTTTTTTTAAGTATTATACAAACAGCTCTTTACTCTGTCATTATTATGCGGAAAAAGGTTAGCCTTTCATGCCTTCTATATCATGTATTGTGTATTTCCAAAAGCAAGGAAATACTTGACGAAATATCAAAACTTGATTATTGTATTGAAGTTGGACCCGGAAAAAATATTTCAAAATATTTCATTCAATTCAGTGTGAAAAATCGTTCTCAAAGTCCCTTGGAAATAGAGATAACGAGTGTACAAAGTACGTCCTTATGGTAAGCAGGAGGTTAAAATTCAGCTAGAAGAAAGTTTTATTAGCTTTGTCTTTGTTTGCACCTAAAATTCCATGTTTTGATGTTAAACGTCTATGCCTGTAAGGAAAGAGAACTTATTAAGCCTAAAAACCGGGAAGAAAGTCAAGCCTGACAGAATATTTAAAACATTTATTATAGTTATTACTAAGTTTCAATGTGTTTTCAATTCCGACAATTTAACAAGGCGTTACTGGACCAACAGAAAAGTTTAATTTGTAATAATATTTTGAAATAATGCACACGAGAAATACCTTTCTGATTAATAATCTGTGACACTTTAAATAAATTAAATGTTTTAGAAGTCTGTGTAGTTCCAAACGTATTACTGTAGCCTAGGTTATTTGGGTTTCATACAGAGAAAATCCAAGCTTGGATAGCACGATTTTAAATAGCAAGTAATTAAACAGTAAAGTCCAGCTGAGAAGGTTTTTGACAAGACTAAGGATAGGCTTCGTCTGCTCATCTGGTTTCTCAATTAGTTGAAAGGCTGCTTTTAGTAGCCGAAAAACAAATGTTACTTCCAGATGTTCACCAAAACAGGCGTGATGTGGCACTTATCTTTACCACGTGACCAAAATGAAACGTTTTCTTCCACTTATTTGCCTTGTGAATAAAATATTTTTTTGAAAAACAAAAATATACACCTTAGTTAAAACGTGCGGGTGTCTGTCATGTGCCATTTAGAGTTAAAAGATGTACAACCTACTCTATAGATATGAAGGTCACAGGTGTGGGAAGTCATTGCATCCGTGATGCACGTGCGAGTTACAGTAAGGCAGCGATTTGTCACGTTTATGTTGTGTTTAAGATATATGAGCTGAGGGCGATACGACTGTCCCAACACCTGCATGGCTGCTGCTTCATGCCACGTGAAGGTTATGGTTTCTAAGGTTATTTCCAAGAAAAATGGAATATCAGTAACCGAATTATATACAGTATATTTTTTTTCCATGTAATGAAAAAAAGAATTAAGAAGATTGGAAAATTATATATTTTTTGTGATTATGTTACTGTCAAGTGTTAAATTATTTTAAAATTTGTACTTCTGTGGTGACTAAGGCATCAGCTTATTATGTTAAATACTTCGCATGACAACAGCTTACGAAACTTCTGTACTGTAAACTGTGCTATTGAACTTTTTAAGTACTTGCTGGGCTGTAAACAGCGCCCCCCCCCTCTCGTCTGCGCCTGGAAACTGAGAGAGAAATACAAGGGATCCCGTGGGGAGGAGTCCGACTGAAAAGGCTTGGTTGGATAAAATAGTTTTTCACGCCAAGGATTCAAGCTTTTGTGTACGGAATTCTATTGTGAAGGTTTTCACAAAACTAGAAGCGTTCGAGACGTATCGGCGTCTCCTGTCGCTTGGGTCCACTTGGCCTAAATCCCATATATTGTTCTGGATTTGAAAAAGCGTCAACACATAATTGGTGATGGCTTTACGGAATCTGTTTTGTTGGTGACTTTTTTTTTAAAAGAAAACATCCACTCCCTGCGCTATTTATAAGGCGCTGTAATCACCAAACGTTCCCGTCCTTCTGACTTGAAAAATCTTTGTATGTTGGTAACGTGAATTGTATTTCGTAAACGTAACACCTGCCTATTATGTACGTGTCCAGAAATATATTTAGTTTATAATGTTTAGAGGTTTAGTGAAGCCAGTAACGTGAAATAGGCTCACGTGAATTGATAGCAACAGTTGTGACTGTCGGATAAGGATAAGTTTGTTTGAAGTTAAGCACAAAGGTACACAATGGGCTATCTGTGCTCTGCCCACCACGGGTATCGAAATCCGGTTTCTAGCGTTGTAAGTCCACAGACATTCCGCCGTGCCACTGGGGGGCGATGAAGATAAGAGTTCAGACGCTATATAATAATAATAATAATAAAAAGGTGTGATTTGATTTTCTTGCAAAATCAATTTTTGTTACCGCACGTCTGATCACTGAGACATATTGAATGACACACGGTTTCTCTTAAACCATCCCTGAATACTATACTGTGGCGTATCTGATGTCTCCAACACACCTAATAAACATGATATGGTAAACGAATGCAGTTGTGATCGTGTCTATTTATTAGTAGTTCAGACAAAGTACAATTTGAAGAGGACAGGTTCGACAGAAAATAACGATTATTTGATTGGTGCATTATACAACTTATCGTTTTTCTTAGCAATTTCTTCTGATCTTCTGAAATCATCTGATGAGTTAATGGAAGATAAAATATTTCCTTTTTTAACTCTTTCGAAAGCAGAATTGTGATTTCTCTACTGGTGGTTAACTTTAACCCAGGAAGATTGACAGTTGGTTACTGGTGGTTAACTTTAGACCAGGAAGATTGACAGTTGGTTACAGGAAAACAATTTTATGTCCATAGAACAAAATCAACAAACCAGTAGTCAAGGGCAGTAAGTTAGAAATGCTGTATGTAGCTGGAATGACTTAGTTTCATTAAATCTCTGTGAAATTTGATTTGTAGCAGAAATATAATCCAAGAAACCTTATTTAAAATAAGCTAAAAAACAAATTCAGTGTTTTTAAAAGTGTGTTGTTTTTCCTTTGCAGAGAATTACAGTACAACGATTTGACAAATATTCAAGAAAATGCTTTTGAGGGAGTACCTAAGCTTAAAAGCTTGTAAGTATAATTTTGTGTGTGTATATAAACTATACAATTAAATATTTTGATGACAGATTTTATGTTTGCTTCCAAACGTGAAATGGGATCAGTATTTGTTTGCTTGTAGTTAAGCTCAAAGCTACATAGTGGGCTATCTGTGTTGTGCCCACCACGGATATGAAAACCCGGTTTTTAGCGTGGAATCGGTAAGAGAATAGCATTTTGATCAATTGAAACGTGTGTATTTTGTTTGCCTTAACACATTTCTCTTTAGTCCTAACGATGTCGTTTCTACGAATATATGAAAAGCCAAACACACTCTAGTTAAAGCTATTAATTTATTGACGTTTTTATGAAGAATTAATTCAAAAATGAACCTTTGAATCGTTAGGGACCGCCGATTTCTTCATGCTAAATGCTAATACTTTGATTCAACAGTTGTTCTGCGTTACAGTGGGTTTTTACCAGCGGATCCTAACTTGGCTGGGGTTCCTGGGTACGGACCTCGTGCGTTAATTCGGATGCCCCTAAACATTGTACTTCAGAGAATCTGAGAGGTACTTGTATTTAACTACGGTGATATATGCCGAATATCGGGGAAGCACTGAAATCAGTGGGCCTAATGTTCGTGATGAAAATCACATTAGATGGTGTGGTGTGCAAATGGGAAAATAACATCTGTAGCTTAACGCGATTTTTACTATTATCATACAGTGTCTGTAGGCCCCTTGGTGGCTCAGCAGCAAGCCCGAGGGCTTCTAACCTTAAAAATTGGGTTTCGATACCCCCGGTGGCCCAAGTACAGATGACCCATTGTGTAGCATCGTGCTCAACAAACAACAGTCAGCCAGTCTTGTGAAATGTGTAAAAACCATGTTAATAGAAAAAACTATTTATCTTGTTGCTATCAGAGTTGTAATTAAATCTGTGCATAATTATATAATATGCATGTATATTTGTATTTTAGGTTTCAAATATAACCCGCGGGTATAACTATAATAGTGTACAGGAATAAGTTTAACTTGATTATGTGTATGTGTGTGTATATATATATATATATATTACACACACACAAATAATTTTGTTTTAAATAAACGTAAACATCTATTCACTCGAGTCATAACTATGCAGTTGGTATGAAAATCCAGAATTTTCATAAAACAACTTTATATTTATCCCTGCTGGAAATCTTCCTTAGACAAACACAGAACGTTTAATGATTGTAAATTAAAATAATTTCCTAATGGCTTCACATCTTGTATAAAATTGACCGACGTTTTAGAAAGATGATTATTACAAAGTGAAGCTGATATATAAAAAATAAGCCCCTTTATTTTAAAATCAAGAAACTGAAATGAACATTTCGTACTTCAAATGTATTAAACGTACTAATCACTTACGTTGTATAAAGTAATAACAAAAAAAAAAAACATGCTCCAACAGGCCCGTACGCAGAATGTTTGAAAGGGGGGTTTCTAATTTGTGAGAACAAAAGCCAACACAATATACGAAGCATGCTAATGTTACGGGGTCTGGGGGCATGCATCCTAGACAATGTGTAAAAATAGGTGCTATGAGATTAAATCTGGAAACAATTTTGTGTGGAATATAACTTAAACATTTACATGGCTGTTCGCGTAAAATCCACTAACATCCAATGAAAAGTCAACAAATCATCATTCTGTTGTAACATTGTATGGGGCGCCAGACTTAAATTAACATAAATATATATGTTTTATTATAGTAAAGTACTGTACTATCTACATGGTAGACTAGTTATTAATGGTTAAAATATATTACTAATTTAAACAACTGTGTACAACAGTAGTATATCAACTATTTCAATCAATGGCTATCATATACGTACATGTAGACTAGTTATTAATGGTTAAATTATATTACTAATTTAAACAACTCTATACAACAATAGTATATTAGATATTTCAATCAATGGCTATCATATACGTACATGTAGACTAGTTATTAATGGTTAAATTATATTACTAATTTAAACAAC